AAAAAAAAAAAAAAAAAAAAAAATATTTGTAACTACTTTGAAGTGCTGAAACTAACACAACAACGGGTTTCTTTAGTGTGTTAGCAACATCTACACAGGCTTCATTTATCAGTAAATCGCAAAATATTAAGTCAATATTATAATCTTCAACAACACTTTTGTATTTTTCGTATGTTCTTTTGTAGGATATTACGCCTATTTCCCAGAGACTTTTCATAGCATTATAGTCTTGTTCTTCATCAATTCCATCCTTTCCTAAATTTTTCATGCCCGTGCTAGGACCTAATGAAATTTGCTTAACGGCTGGATACTCTGATGACAATACATTATTTCCGGATGCCAATAATATTACCTTTATATCGTGAATGAAAATATGAGAGAGTTGATCATCGATCATCGATCTAAGATACATTAATAAAAAAAATTTTACATTGTAGCTTCTTTCAGCCAATATCTCAGCAATGTCTAGCATTGGTTTAACATGACTTCTTCCGCCCATAAAAGAACCAAACAAAATATTTTTAGGTATGTTTGAGCGATCTATATCAACTCCTTTAGAAATATCGTTTTGTGCTGCAGTAATGAAATTGACACAAAAGACTAGGTTTAATAGGAAGGGCACCAATAATGATAATAAAATTGATTTTCTTTTAATCATTTTTTTTTGATAAATTTACACTCACAAAAAACGATTTAATTCTTTATATATAACAATTTGAATTCTGGGGAGTTTTATCCTATGACATTTTCTTATTAAATTCACATGCAAGTTATTTGAAAATGTATGCATCTTTATTTGGCTATTGATTTATTTACGATTGTTATTCATTTAATTAATTTTTAACCGACGGAAGAATATAGCCGATACAACCGATAGTCCGAAACCGGTTAATACTTATTGCCATTTGCAAAATGGTTGATTTCAGAAATTTTTATGACGTTTACAAAAAAACACAAAACACAAAACACGAGATGATGTAACACAAGATCTATCCAATAAAATTAGTGTGCAGAAATCACGTGTATTATATAAGATCCCTTTTTCAAAAAAAAAATTATCGCGTTTTTTTAATTTTTCTTTTTTAAAGAAATAAAAAAAATGGCTACTCCTTATATGAGACAATATGCTATCGGCGCTTGTTTTTTGTGCCAACAATGTTTATATTCAGTTGTGAAAAAAAACTATCTATCACAACATGTCAGTGTGATTTAAATAAAAAACCTACTTTAAAGAACACAGGAAAAGAAAAAAGAAATGTTTATTCTAGAATCTATAATTCACAAACGAAACATACTATTTACAATACATTACAACTTGAAAAATTAGAAGAGGCCAACAAAATTTATTCATATAATATTGATTTTTCGTTCAAGTTTAATTTTTCTCTTTGTGTTATCTGCCATAATATTATGACAAGATTAAAGAGGAAATCTTTAAAAGACACAAGAACTACCCCATTAAAAACTTCTAAATCTAATTCTAAGGGGAATTTAAAATTGAATGGCAAATCAAAGATTTCAGATAAATCCAACGTTATAAAAGAAGTTTGCGAAATACTATCAGATAATGATGATGACGAAATTTATGAAAACAAGATAGAAATATCAGAAGAGTTGAATAAAGAAAATATTATGGACGATCCATTTGAAGATACAGTAGTTACAGATGAAGAAACAGATACGGAGATTGATAATGATTTGGATGTTAAAGAATTCAAAGAAACTTTATCAGAAATTTCCTTTAAACTTATAATTAAGCAAGAAAGAGAAAGTAGTGCAGCAGCTATTAGCCAAACTACTTTTAAAGATTTTAGGAAAAAATTAAACCTTTTAGTACAAAATCAATTAGATAAATGGGTAAGATATGATGATTATATTGTTAGCTATAAGCTAGGAAAGGAAACAGGTTCCGGAATTCAATTAACAGATGAAAGGGATTGGATTAGATTTTTAACTGAATACAACAAATTCCATTCAAAGAAAAAAGAGTTGGTAATTTTCGCGTCGATCAAATCACGAAAAAATAATTCACAAAAAGAGGTAAATTACATTATATTATAATTTGTTAATATTTTGCTAAATAATAATATTTGATACTGCCGATGATGCTGATGCTGTTGATGCTTTACAAGACTCAAGAAGAAAAAAAGGGAAAGCAGTTGCTAATGCTGTTCCAAAAGAATCAAACTTATCTGAAGAAAGAAGTAAAATAGCAACATCTGTAATATTGATATCGCAAAAACATTATTGTGCAGAGCATCAGAGATTATGTTATGTTAATGGATCAAATCACTTACACTTGACTCCACAACATCTAAGTACATGAGCAGCATCAATAGTGAGTTTTATAACATTTTTGCGTAATATTTTGTGTATTTTGCGTAACATTTTGCATAATAATATTTTGCATAACATTCGCATTCACCTAACGTTTACATAATTTCTTACAATTGTTTATAATAATAAATGTATTTTTAGGAACAAGCATTGGCAACAATTGATGAGCCACCTTCCTTTCCTATGTTTAATAATAAATCTACAAGAACAATAAACCTCCTACACCACCAACGCCACAACCACAAAGTTTTTTTTATCCTATATCTTTTCCATTTTACAATTATCCCTCCACACAATCTCAACCAATTTTAACTTCCCAATCTTCTACAATTTTTCCATCATCTGGTAGTAAACCTATTCCAACCATTCAAGAGTTTTTGGAAAATTTGGATAATACGTATGGGAGCCAAAAGTTTACCTGCTTTTTAGAAAGAATTGTTAGTGAATCTATAGATATTTTGGACATTCAAATCTTAACTGATAGTGATTTTGAGAAATTAGGTATTAGTAGTATTGGAGTAAAAACAAAACTTGTTAGAGAAGCAAAAAATTATTCATCATCATAAAATAGACTCATGTTCATAATAATATAATAATTCAATAAATATATTCCAATCAAAACAAAATAAACTTTATTATATTTATCAAATTAAATATAATTTGATTTTTCAAAATAAAATTTTGCCATTTCTGGTGTTATTCGCGAACATGCTGCCATAATAGCAAATTCAGGATCTGTACAAGTTTCCATAAAATCTCTATTTCTTTTAATCCAGATTTTTACAGTAGAAAATGCTGTTTCTATTGGATTATAATCGGGTGAATATGGAGGAAGATACACCCTATAAAAAATTTTGATCCGTTTTTTTATTCCGTTTTTATTCCGTTTTTATTATTAAATAGACAATTCCGTGTTTATTCAGTAAAGGTCTCATATTCGCGGAATTTATACGGAAATTTTACTGAAATTATCTATAAAAAAACTGAAATTTTATTGAATAGATTTAATTAATAACACTGATAATAAACTAATAAAAAACTGATAAATTCATAGAATAATTTATTACGTAAAACTGATAAAAAACTAATAAAAAACTGATAAATTCAAAGAGAATTTATTGATATAAAATGGATAATAAACTAATAAAAAACTGATAAATTCATAGAATAATTTATTGTATAAAACTGATGAAAAACTAATAAAAAACTGATAAATTCATATAATAATTTATTGTATAAAACTGATAAAAAACTAATAAAAAACTGATAAATTCATAGAATAATTTATTGCGTAAATCTGATAATAAACTAATAAAAAACTGATAAATTCAAAGAGAATTTATTGATATAAAATGGATAAATTTCGGATAAAAAACTGATAAATTTCCAAGATACAATTTCAGGATTTCTCCCTACTTTACTAATCAGTTTTCTTGCTAGAAGATCTTGTTATTCGTGAAGTTTTTGGAGTTTTTACTGGGGTTTGTGAAGATTTCCTTTTTCTTTTTTTATCTATAAAATTGGAAAACATAATAAATATAATTATATTTATTTGAAAAAAAACAAAATTTCTGCCTTACTAGAAGTTTCTGCAATTTTATCCATAACAGGCGTAATATGGAGAGCATTGTCCTCAGTTTCAGAAGTATTAACTTCACCTGGAGTGGGAGATGGTGGATCCTCAGTACCTTGCGTATTAGCTTTGGAGATGGGAGTTGGTAAAATAATTGCTTTTGAACAGTAAAAATAATAGTGTTTATATTATTTAATATATTAAATATTAATATAAATTACTATGGAATAATTATAAAAATAATACTTGAAGTACTTCCAGAAGCTTGCAAGCTACCAGTAATAGAATCACTCATGTTACGCTTCTTATTATTAGGTGGTTTGATATTTTTCTTTTTTGGCTGCGGTAGTGGAAGACCATGTTCTTTTGCATCAGCAATTTTCTTTTTTTTGGCTTGGTCAACTATAATAAAATTAAGTAAAAATTATTTAAAAAAAATACAAAAATTTTTGTAATAAAGCACATACCAGTACTATTACAGTACAAAGCAAGCCATTCACGAAATATAAAGTTAGCTTCGGAAACTGGAAATGTTGGGTTTGCTTCTTTGAACTGTAATAAAATAATAAATATTATTTATTTTTATATTTATTTTTATATCTTCACTAAAAATATGAATTTATATACTTACATCTTTAATAATCTCTTCAACTATCCCCTTTTGCTGATGGGACATTGGTTCACCACGAGTAAGTCTAGAGGCTGCACGATTTCGAAGATCATTCTGTAATAGTAATTATATAAAATTAATAATTGTTAGGCAAACACTTAAACTGAGTATATTTACCCTAAAGTTTAAGTATTGCTGCTTATCAAGTTTCAAGAATTCATGCCATTGGAACTCTTTTTTATTTTGCTTTTGAATTTGCTTATATTCTCTATATTCCTGAATTTTGATTGGATTCATCACAGTTCCTTTCGGAAACTGTATATAATTGTTATTACTAATTAGTAATTCAAGAAATTATTTGTAAACAAAGTATACCTGTTCATTAGTAGTGCCATTCACAGCACTACGTGCATCTAGAGATGATCCTGCAAGTGAAGGCTCAATGGTTATTAGCTCTGTATATAATTTATGACGCTTTTCAGAACTTAAAACATTAATAAGAGATATATCTTCCAATAATACAAGAAATAGTTGTTTGCGTTCTTCATAACTAAGTTCACTAATATCAATAGCATGATTAGTACTTTGTGACATCTTTTAAAAGAAATTTTAAAATATTTATTATTAAAGAAAAGAAGAGTTGAATGTTTAATTAAATAAAAGTTTGAGTTGTATTTATAATGAAAAGTATATGATAATTGATATGCGTTTTACAAATTTGAAAGTATAAATAGTTTAATATTTATAATACAAAAGTATATAATAGTTTAATAATTATACGCGTCTTACAAATTTGAAAGTATAAATAGTTTAATATTTATAATATAAAACTATATGAAAGTTTAATAATTGATACGCGAAATTATAATAAAGTCAATATTTAATACTACTATTATATTGTATAAGCATTAATTATTTTGATAATATTTTTTTTTAAATATATGGAATTTATCAGTTATATGAAAATTAATAATTATATAAAAATTCAAAACTCTGATTATTTTTAATATTTTTAATAATTTTTAATATGGTTAAACAAGTTCTATGCACCTGTATTTGGTGTCTTCAAGAGTCAAATGGCCAAGGAAAATCAGTAAGCAAGGCAACTCGTGCAAGGCATATAATAAAACAAAAAAAAACTTGGGCCAACCCAGCAGGCATGCCTACATTACAGCGTCATATAACTACTCCCATTTCTCAGACTACTTCAGCAGTATCACCATCTACAGTAATGCTATTGCCTACTAATACTACAGAAGAAATTTCAAATTATAATCATGGTGAAGATATTAATATAGATTTTTTTGAAAATATGATGAGTGATAGAAATGAAGAAATCATATCTGAACGATCTTCTAGTGATGAAGAAGATCAAATTGAAGTATTAGAATATGAAGAAAATGAAAAGGATAATGATGATGAATATGATGGGGATGATGATAATGATGATGATAATGATGAAGGTGATGATAATAATAATAATAATGAAGGAGATGATAAAGGGAATAATGAAGAAGAAGAAAATAATAAGGAATATAATGGAGAAATTTCAGAAGATTTAATTAAAGGTTTACGGCTTCTTAAAATTAAAGACAAATATAATATCCCAGAAGCTGCATTTAATGAAATTCTTAAAGTTTTTGAAATTTCTAAAGTATCTCTTTTTAAACTTCGAAAACTTCTTGGAAATATTGTTCCATTAGAACCAACTCTTGTAAATTGTTGCATCAACTCATGTGTAGCATTTACAGGCGAATTTATTAATGAAGATCATTGCCCATATTGTGGGGAATTTCGTTATAAATCTAGCCAAGTTGCTCGAAAAAATGCTTCTTATTGGTCACTTATTAATACACTTAGAGCACAATATAAGGACAAAGCTCGTTCTGAGACTCTTCGCTATCGACATACTTACACCTCAACAAATGAGTATACAATTGGTAATCAAATAAGTGATGTATTTGATGGTTTTCGTTATAAAACTCTAGTTTCTTCTGGATTTTTCTCAGACAGTCGGGATATTGCCCTAATAGCATCTACTGATGGATACCAGATTTTCTGTCAAAAAAGAAATGACTGCTGGGTTATTCTTTTGATAAATGCAAATCTACCACCTGATGTGCGTGTCAAACGTGAAAATTTGATGATTTCTGCACTTATTCCAGGACCAAAAGAACCAAAAAATTTTAATTCTTTTTTACAACCACTAGTTGATGAATTAAAACAATTACAAGGTATTTAATTTATATTTATTAGCATATGTCAGATATGTTTAGATTATAAATAAACTTATAATATATAATACTTATAATTCAATTATTATAATAATGAGTATAGAAGGTGTTCAATGTTTTGATGGTTTAACAGAAAGTACATTTACCCTTCATGCACATATTATGAGTTTGTCTGGTGACATTCCAGCACTTGCTAAAGTTATGTGTACAACAGGACATAACTCATATAAGGCTTGTCGATTTTGCACTATTAATGGAGTGTATTGTCAAGAAAATCGACATGTATATTTTCCACACAAATCTGCTAATAGGAGGTATGATCCTGAAAATCTTCCATTACGAACACATGAAGGTTATATTCAAGATGTTATGGCCATAGAACATGTAAATGGAACTTTATATAGACAAGAAGTGCAAAAGAGAGGTGAGATATAAATTGTTTATAAATTGAATAAAATTTTTATTCATTTATTTGTTGTTTTTGTAGGTGTAAAAGGTCGAAGCATTCTTTTGGAACTTAAGTCAATTGAGTTCCCAGCTTCATTTCCCATCGATATTATGCATGGATTATTTGAAAATATTGCACCAGCAATGCTTCGCCATTGGTTTGGTACTTTTTTTAAAAAAGATTTTGCCTCTGAATGTGTACTTTCTAAAAGTATTTGGAATGAAATTGGAACTATAATGGAAAAAAATCAAAAGAACATGCCTCTTGATTTTGGCCGTCCACCTATTGACATTCAAAAACATTTTGCAGGATTCAAAGCAGAGGATTGGACAAATTGGGTGATACTGTATTCACTTCCACTCTTACAGAATTATCTTCCTGAAAGGTAAATTTGCTTGCAACATATATATATAATGTTACCAAGTAATATTTACTATTAATTTAAATTTTAATATTTTTAGGTATTTAAATGGATGGGCAAAATTCGTACATGCTGTAAAGCTTTGTCTTAAAAAAAATATTAGTATATCAGAATTGACAGAAATAGATAGATTATTTCGTGAATTTGTTACACATTATGAAAGGTATATTTTCATAAATAGTTATTGCAATCAATTCTTTATTTAACTTATTAAATATAATTTAATTTTATTAGAGAGTATATTCAGGATGATTCCAGACGATTTTCGGCAGCACTAATTTCTTATCATTATTTACTGCATATTTCTACCTCCATTCGTAATACTGGGCCTGCATGGGCAACTTGGCAGTACCCCATGGAGAGATTATGTGGGATGCTAGTGCCATTAGTGCATTCCAAGCAACATCCCTATACAAACCTTCGAAACCAAATTACTATATGGACTCAATTCTCACATCTTCAGTACAAAGCTGAAGTGAACCAGAAAGTTTTTGGAAACAAGTTGAGAGAACTTAGTACAATTGAAGAAGAGTTGTACTCACTATCACGCAAGTATTGTATGAATAGAACTGAGTTACAACGCCTTAGAGCTTATTATGTAACAGTATTGAATAAGCCTGCAGACCAACTTATGGTGAGCTATGATGTTCCAATTTTAATCTTTAAAAACTTTAGTTCTCTAACATTTGCTTAGCCAATTACAGATTCCATACAGAAGTATGGGAAGTTTCGAACAAAGTATGGACTGATTATTAATTCAAAACTATCAAATCGCAAGGGTGATGTTGCTCGTAAAAATTTCTGTATTGCTGTATGTATATCATTAGTACTAATGATTTTTCCAAGAATTATCATTTTAATATTAGCCACTTTTAGGTAAAGCTTTTGGTTGATAAAAATGCTCATCGCCCAAATGCACCAATCATTCTGGAAGAAAGGGAGTTTTTTGGAGAGGTACAATATTTCTTTTCACATCAATATAATGGTTGCTGGTCCATGTTAGCATATGTGCAATGGGTGCGAAATCCTCGGCCTTCTGGACATGGTCCATTAAAGTTCCGGGATCTTGGTGCATTTGAAGTAATTAATATTAGTGCAATTGATAGAAATGTTGGATTTCTCAAGATGCCAAACAATGAATTGTATATTATCGATCGAGAAAATAGAGTTAAATTCAGATAATTATTTGTTGTTATTTGGATAGTATAATCAATTAAATTTATTAATTTGCGAAAGTCAAAAAACTTTATTTATAAATTATAGTTCATTTCGTTACGGTGTTGTATTACATAAAAAAAAAAAAAACTGGGATCCCAGACCCCAGGCGTTACTGACTAGTGAATTTTTATTTGCTTTTTTATTTTATTATATTTCTGATTTATTCATATTTTTTCCATTATTATTCCGTTTTTTATCATGGTTAATTATCAGCAAATTATCAGTTAATTTTAGAAATTTGATAGTCCATTTTAATTCCGTATTTATATTGCTGAAATTACTGAAAGAATCCGGATTGTTACTCAACCGGTTACTATTCCGAAAAAATTCACTGAATATTTACGGAATCCAAACAAAATCATGGAGTTATAACGGAAATATTCTGGAGTGTCATTTTTTATAGGGACAATACTCCACAACCACTTCTTTCAATCACATTAACCATTTCATCATCATGGTGTATTCTGGCGTTATCCATTACCAATACGCTATTTTTGTTAGGATGAGGATTCATTAAAGGCAACTATAAAAATTAAAATCATTAAAAATTTAAAATAGTTACGCAAATGTAAATATCAACGTGACATTGGGGTGTTCCATCAACTAATTAAATCAAAACATATGTAAAGTATCATATAAAAATTTACTATTAAAGATTTTTCTGCCGATCATTATATGAAATTTATTTATTTATTTTATATAAAGTCGGAAGAACTATTCTAAGAGAGCATTTATTCTAAGAAATGTGCCCAACATTTAGTCCATCATCTATCCCGAGGGGCAGACCCTACCTAATTATTATATATGAGAGACTGCTCCAACAACACGACCGATGAAGGAGCAGGTAAAAGGAAACAGAGAACTAGAAAACTAAAAAAGTACGAACATCTATCTAATGGTTACATTAATGTGGTAAAATATTATGTAAATAAAATATCTTATATAAAAATTAGATGTGGCAAAACTATACATTATAAAATAAACAAATGTCTGTGGATAAAGCAGTCTAACTACTAAAAGAGATAAACCCGTATTTTGCTTTCGATCCCATGATCGCCACCTGTAAATACTGTAAGAGGTGGAATGATTCACACTATTCAAATTGTTTTTGTATAAAATATTTGGTAAAAATTGATATAGCAAAAAGCTATTGGGGTAAAATAAAATATATGTATATATAAAAATTATAATGAGGGGAAATACTAAAAAAAAATTTTTAGGGGATATACTAAAAAAAAAAAAAAAAAAAAAAATTTTTTAGGGGTTAAATTTTTTAACGTCATCGGTCAAATACCGAATACGTTTGGTGGGTAGCGCCTATTTATGAATATTAAGGTTAGCGTTTATTAAAGTAGAACGTTTGTGTGGTTTACGCTCAATAGCACGCGTCTCTTCAGACGTATCGGAGTATATAATCTCATAAAGGTTGTCCGGATTATCATAGTACTTTTTAACTGTATCATTAAAATTCAACGAGAATTTGAGAAGTTGCTCTCTTACTGGATCATTTTCGGCACTAGTGGGCGCCATATGCATTTTGCATCTTCTGCATAAACTTCGGAATCTTCCATGATATTCATCGGTGAACGATGTAAGTAGTTTAGATTGTAATTGCCTTTGGTCTGCACGTTTTGAACTTGTACCTAATTCAGAAGCTAGTTTTTGTTTTCTATCAAGCTCAGGTTGATCGTTCACTCTTTGAAGCCTTTCCTTTTCTTCCTTTACCATAGTGTCGTATCCTAACGAGTTAGCTTTTCTGCTTTGTTGGCGGACAAAATCAAACCATATACGAGTACCAGGTCTATTATATTTATAGTCAACACCGAATTTGCTATAATGGTTTTTTTTATAAAAAAGTGGTGATTTGGAAATGTATGGTATAAAAAAGGGATGAATGTAGGTATCATCGTCAGGTAAGGGATTATAATTTTTGATGGCCTCTTCACGCCATTGGATTTCCTGTCTGTATCTTCATTCTTTATAAGATAAGTATTCAACATTGGGCCTAGTCGAGGTATCAGGAGAGAGGTCCACGCCTTGCCCTATCTCTTCAATAGAATCAATTAAACTCTTCTGTAAGGTCGATAAAGTTTTAGGTTTAAGTTGAAAAAAGGGGACCAAATAATTATAATGTGTAGGATTAGGAATCGTTTCGTTCGCTCGATAAAGAAGATGATGTATGGATTTATAAATAAATTGTGAAGGTGTAAAAAGGAAATTATGTTTTCTAGCCGCGCTCAGTTTATCGTCAATACTGAGTGAGACGTTAGGTTTTCCAATATTGAAGACACGAGTACATGCCCTTTTAAAACGTCATTCCTGTTTCTTACGTGTGCGAGGGTGTTTACTAGGATGAAATTGTAAATTCCAATATTTTTTTCGGTACATAGGTTTCTTTTGTCTTTTGAAGTGTTCACTACTACCATTAGCGTGATATCGAGTCTGGTAACTAATACCTAAACGAGTTGAAAATATCGACTTAATTTGATGTGTTTCCCATCTTTCATATATGAGATTGGCATGGCCCACCTTGTTGTTGTAAACTTGATTATTTTCCGACTTGGAACGATCAGGGGATTTAATAAAATGGTGTAAATTATGTTTAAAAAAATATGATTGGTGGGTTACACACGCTCGTCTGCGTTGTGACATCACAAAGGGGGAAGGTATTTTACAACGAGAGGTAGTTTTGATAAATTGAGAAGAGACACAAAGTTGTGAACATGAAATGTAAATACCGAAATAAAATCTGTATTTTTTGTAAGAAAAAGGGAAAAAAGTTTTTGTGCTTTGGTTTCATTTAGTATCAGAGGAAACACGTGATATTATAATGTCCATTCTAGCCAATAATTTGTCTCTAATATAATTGAAAAATTTTTGGCGTATTTTACTCGGAATGACTCGTTGCGCCAGAAAAAAGTGCGTGAGCATCTTGGATATTGCAAACTTGGTGTTAATTTTTTTGCTTGTGGAATAATGCCTAACTGGGGTAGTGTTCATATGATAATCATTTGTGTATATTTTAAAATGAAGGGGATTGGTGTTTGTGTTCTGATTAGCTAACTCAAAAAAGTAACTTCTTGAACGCCTAATTTCGTAAATCTTGTTGTAACCGGTTCGTCTTGGATTGGTCACGTGAAATTTTTGTATCGAAATATCGAAGGGAGTATTCGTTAAAGACATTTTGTAAAAAGAGTGAAAATGACTATATACAAATTGTATATTAAAAGGGGTGTATATGGGCAGATAGAAAAGAAAAAAGTAGTTACTCTATCCGAGGGGTAAAATATATATAGATATATGTGAAAAAAAAAAAATTTTTGGGTATAACTGTATGAACTTCTATCGACTAAAGCGAGCGTATATTTCTATTAAAAACAAAAGTTTTTACCACACGTATATACTGCAAGGTGTGGAATGAATAATATTCGTGAGTTATTTAGGGTATACTATTTAGGTGTCCTACGATGTTTTATAATGAAAACAAAAAGTTTGTATAGCGAAAAAATTTTCTACTGCACCATTCTAACGGTTTGGAAAAATTAAGGAGAGAGTTTTTTTTTTTTTTATCATTATATGAAATTGACACCATATACAGATCACGCTATATAGTTAACGATATCAGGTGATCTTCATTTTAATAGTGATAGTCCTTGTAATTGGTTGTTATGCTAATCGTGCTATCCTGAAAAGGAAGGAAAATTTTACTAATTTAGTTAGCTCTTATGCGCTAAGTATAAGGT